ATTTTCTGTGCAGTCCAAGTGCCGGGTACTCCCCCAGTGCACCAGGGTATTCACCATCCTCGACTGGTCAGTACACTCCAAGCAACAAAGATGACCGTAAAGATGACAATAGTAAATGATAAGGCTTGCAGTCTCTCTGAAAAAGCTCGATAGGTGATTTGAAGAAAGGTAAATACGCCAAGATGGTTCGATCTTAGCACTCTTAAATTTTTTTCGCAATTATTGAAATTGCAATAACATGACACTTTTCATGTTATGTTAATTTCCATTAGGCTGCTATTCAAGTTTCCAAAAGATTTTAAAAAACGGGGAAGGGGGTCTCGTCCACCTTGGAGCCATTTTCTTTATTAAGCAAATATTGAATCCCCACCAAACATAGTCTGGGTATTTATATAACAGTTTTTCTTAATCTAATTTATTAAGCATTCTATTCCCCCCTGAAATTTTTACATTTTAGATTTTTTGTGCATTTTCAATTGATAATATGTTTCCGCCCCTAAAATATTATAAAAAGTTCACTCCCCTCTAATATTTAATAGGTTTACCCCTAGCATCCGTTTGTAATAATATAAATGAATGATGGCTACCTGACTGGGTCATTTTGTTCAGTTTGCAGTTCCTGTGATGGGCACTAGCCTGTTGGACCGGTGGAATGAAACAAAAGAAAATTTATATTTGTGTTTAAGATGTATGTAAATTTACGTTGTTTCCATGGAATAGCAAAGATTGAAACAATCAACCTATGGATATTTTTCTCTTATTATCGGGGACAAATACTTTGATACCTGTTTTTGGTGGTAGTTAGTGAATTAAAATGACCCAAGTGTATCTTATTGTTATTTTCAACATCTAGAACAAAAATGTTGAATGAAATGAATGGTTGGCTGCCAATATGGGGGTATTAATAAGGACATGAATTAATTCGTTTTGACTACTTTCTAGGGCTTAGCAAACAAATTGATTCTGTCTAATTAAATTTGGTTTCGGTTTGATTATTATTTGAACGTGTTTAATTTAATGTTGATCTTCAATTCAAAAGATTAAATATGATGTGAAAATTATAATTCTTTTAGTCAAATTAAATTTTCTATAATATGAAAATAAAGTTTTTATGGAAATAAATAACTTTTGAACATTTGGTTCGTTTTTCAAAACAGAAGTATTAAATTATAGTATAAATTATATTAGTAATCATTAATCTACTATTTTTATATTTTGATCATCAAATCGATTTTATTCACAAAAACATTATTAATGCTATTTTTTATCAATGGTGACCTAAATTTGAACGATAATATTTACATGGTATTTCTTATTTTTCATGTTATTTTCTCTCTTCAGGTCAGGAGATTATGTCATTTTTTAATATTATATGTGATTATGTTATAAATAAACGAGATGAAGCAATAATGGGAACAAGAAGAACAAGAGATATAAGAGTAAAATGGGAGAATTGTATTATTATTTCAATATGAATTGTGCATGATGTGTTCTTTGAACTCCATATTTATAAGCATATTGAGTATATCTCATATAGAACTCTAACTTTAATTGATATTAAAGTCCTAATAATAAAGCATATTAAAACCCTATCTTATAGATAGAGATAAAGATAGACATCTACATAAATAAATATTCATAACACTCCCCCTTTGATGTCTATAAAGATAACGTGCCTCGTTAAAAATCGTATTAAGATAAAAATCCTGTGGGAAAAAAATCTTAATGAAGGAAAAGAGTATATCTTTAATATATATAACATGTTGTCTCGTTAAAAACCTTACCATGAAAGCCCAGGAGGAAAAAACCTTGGTTAAGGGGAAAAGAGTGTTAGGATTGTTGAAGCTCAATTTGAACAACCGAAAAATGTACAAGGGAGTGAATTGGCAAAAATTGTTTAGGGAGTAAGGAGAAAGAAAAGATAGACAATTTTGCAAAACGATTTATAGTGGTTCGACTTCTCAATTAAGTCTACCTCTACTACCTTAACTCCTCACTAAGGATTTTCCAACAAATCACTAATTTGTTCTTTCTTTTTCAAGGATCAAGAGTAACATTTACAAACTTCCTAGCTTTTCAAATTGACTAAATTAGAACCAATCCCCTTTACAAAAGGTAAAAATAAGTAAACAATAAAACCTCTTAAAGGTAGTGTGTTTACAAAATAAAGCTCACAAAAACACAAATATTTACAAGAGAATAGAAATAAAGAGTGAAAAGCTCTTCTCTTGTGTTTGATTGCTTGGATAGGTGTTCTAACCCTTATTCAAGTGTCTTGAACTTGTATTTATAAGTTGAAATGAGGTTGTGGCTGTTTCTAGAGCCATTGGGGATGATTTCTCTACAAAAATAAACTGCTCAGTACATAGGGTATCAGTACTCCTATAGGAGTATCAGTACTACCTTTGTAATATTTAAATAAAACTAGTCGTTACTAGCCGTTGGGCCCGACAGTATCGATACTAAGCTTATGGTATCAATACTACTATGTAAAGTAGTATCGATAACCCTTTGGGTATCGGTACCTATTTTGCATTCTAGAATTTGAGCAAGCTAGTAGTATCGATACTACCTTGAGAGTATCGATACATCTCTTACTTGGGGTATCGATATCACATGAACAATATCGGTACCACATGAACAGTATCGGTAATGTTCATATAATATCGATACTGTAAGAACAGTATCGATACTACGTACGTTGAAAATCAATTTTGTGCTCAAATTCACTTTTAATGGACTTTGAATTATTTTTGAAACATTAAAAACTTTGAATAAATTCAATTCAAGTTCAAAAACATTTTGCCTTAAATTGTTATATCAGAATATTATAAAACATGGTTCAACAAAAGAGTACAACACATATTTACTCCCCCTCATGATAATATCACATAATATCTTTGAGTATTACAACTTAATCTTGAATACAATCTTCAAATGTTCAAGTAAACAATACATCAATTAATAGATCTTTTCAAATTACCACTTGAACAAATTCATCAAATATTTACATTATTTTTCTTTTGAAGATCACGAGGGAGGAAACTTAAAAAAAAAACATGTTATCTTTAATGTATCTTCTTTTATATTGATCTAATTTATTAAGTACTCGATCTACAAGTCGAGATAAAACTTGATTTCAAGATTGTTTATCTCAATTATTCTTTTAAACAATCAAAATACTTTTGAAACACTTCGGGAATTATATTTTAAAGCTCTTTAAGAGTTTCAATTCAAAGTATACAATATTATAATTTGATCTTGATGTCTTTATAAAGACATATGAGCGAGTATGCTCTCATTGATTTAGATATATCATACACACTTAGATCGATTCATTCTATCTAAATATTTAAACAAATATATTTGTACAAATTTCCTAGGAATTTATAAATGTTTCTAGCATTTTAATCCTTCAGGGATAAACATCATTATTTATGGATCAACAAACCATTAGACGCACTATAAAATTTTCATGACGGCCAGAGTAATAAAGTAATTGCATCCACCACGAATTTAAAGTCTTTATGATTCAAGTCGTATTGTATATTTTACGACTACTCATTTATACCTTACTTGTATTACACCTTTTGTAGGTGTTTGGACTACTTGTTTATGTTTTGGAAGTTGATTTAACTTCACTTGGAAAGCGTCTTTCCATGTATCTCAAATTATTTTCATATTTATAATTCTGGATATATTACAATTCAATATTATCATTTTATTTCTTTACTTGTATAGAATTATTCTTTGTAAAATCGATGTCGACAACTTTTCTATTTTTTTTGTTCCATCATTTTCTTGTAATGACATAACTTATCGAGATCTCTTCAATATTTTCATTTTCAATTTTCAGGTACCTGAAACTCTTATAAAGTTGTATTATTCGTTATGTCTTGGGTTTCTTTAGGAGTATCAGCCTCCACTATATAACCATCTTATAATACTTTTCATTTACGAGAACTTTAACTGTTGGAACTATCATGTGTCGGGCATGATTTACATTCTTTTGCTCTAACATGTTATCCTTCTAGGAATTCAATTCAAATTTAGAGCATTTTCAACTGGTATATAAGAATTGATTACTCTCATTATGTCAGCAAATATTTCTGACAGTTAACTTATAATGAATTATCTTATGAACTTCTGGTTCACATCACTATGTATGAGGATCTAAATTTTCATCTAGCTGATTCTTCTCTCCCCTGATGAAAAAATAATTAAATCTCAAAGGATTTAATAAAGTGAGACTCATACTCAATGTATATATATATATATATATATATATATATATGTTCTCAACCTACTTCAAATATCATTTTTTATGCATTTATGGTTGATCAATAGAAACATATAATGCACAACTAAAATTTTTATAATGGAAATATATGACTTCTGACCATAAGTCAATCATAAGGAGAAGTATAACTTGTTGGCATGATGCGTATATGTGAATTATGGTATAGATACTAGAACTTTTGTTCTCATAATTTAGCTATTAAAAGAAGGCAATAAAATATTTGCTAAACTATTTATTCATAGATTATAAGCTTTATAACAATTATTTTCAACTTATGTACAATATGATCTTTACAAGGCTAGTCTTGATTGCATAACAAAACTCTATCTTATAGATAAGGATAAAAGATAAAAATAGGCATCCACATAAATAAATATTTTTAACAGATTATTATTTTTTGATTAAATATTATATTTGATTATTACAATGACAACAAGCGGTACTATTTAAATCAATTTTATTTTAATTTCTGTGATTAAAATTGATGAGTAAATTAAAATTAATTTTTTTAATTTTATAAGTTAACATTAAATTACTAAAAAATAGTTCAATGATTTTTATTAAGAAATCGATCCGAACAAAACGGTTGACAGTTAACATCGACTCCCTCCTTAAACGAGGCTCTTGTTTTGCATGCTTCCACATCTTGTGTGGCAAGGTCAATACCTGTCTCTCTCTCTTAGGTTTCATCAATTATTTTCAATGGTGAAGCCGGTGAGACAGAAGAAGGTTGTGCTCACTTTCCGATTAAACCCGCCGATCAACCCCGGCACTAAAAAAATTTCACATCCGAGAGTATCCTTGTTTCCGAAGGAGGTTCGAAGGCTAGCCAATAATGGGATCTTAGAAGGATTTGAGCCTGTTTCCCCCAGAGTTTCATGCACGGGCCACATCCAAATCGAGAGCCACATAAAGAAAAAACGAGGTGTCGGCAAACATAAGCAAGCCTTTTCACCTCTAGCCCAAGCGTTGGCGGAACAGATCAGAAGGAAGGTATTGAACGGGAGAAAGCGTGGTTACGAATCCGATGTTTTTGATGCCTCGTCTGAGACAGAGGAGGCTGCTCCTTCGCTTCAGCAGATGAGGCAACTCCGTTATGGACGTAGCACGTTATCGGATTTCGATTGGAGGACATATGATGCAGAGGAGAAAGGGAAGATACTGAAGAGCGGGATGAATCGTGGTATGAATTGATGTTTCCGATTTGCACGCGCCTTCGCTTCGGCAAATGAGGCAATTTTCCAAGGGACGTAGTACGTTACCAGATTTTTATTCGAGGTCATACGGTGCAGAGGAGAAGGGGAAGGAGTTGAAGGGAAGAAAGTTCGGTTGTGAATCCGGTGATTCTGATTCGCAGGTGACATTTGAGGCGGCGGATGTCGTCGCCCCTTCCCTTGAGCAGATGAAGCAATTTCGTTCGAGATGATCGGATTTTAATGATGCGGCGGATTCTGTCCATACTCCTCCCCTTGGGGAGATGAGGAGATTTGATTGGGAAAAGGGGAAGAAGATGTTGAAGGAGAGAGCGTGGTCATGAATCTGATTTTGGTGGTAGGACTGGGCAGGTGAGGCAGTTTTGTTCCAGGCGTAGTACGTTGTTGGATTTTGATTCGGAGAAGCGTGTGAAAAGGAAGAGATGGTAGTTTTGTCGATGGCGTTTGTAGCTCAGGTTCAAGGGACGAGTGACGTACCGTGACGCCCATAGCCGCTCATCTCCATAAATAAGAATGCTTCGATGGACATATGGTAGAACTCTGGAGATATGACAACAAACTCTACTATTAGGATGTCCTTGGGAGTGGTGTCTATTTCTGAAAAATTGAGGGAAGGAAGACTACGGTGGTTTGGGCATGTCCTTAGACGACTACCGTCGGATGCGGTCAGGAGGGTAGAGTCGATTACAGTCGACGGTGACAGAAGGAGAGGACGACCAAGTCGAAAGTGGGAAGACTGCTTGATATATGATTTGATAGATTTAGCCCTTACCGAGGACATGACCTCTGATAGGAAAGTATGGAGACTAAAGACTAGGGTAGTCAAGTAGTGTGAGTCACATCTCTAGGGTGTATCATCTTTGTCTTCTTTTAATGCCTTTGTAGTAATTTCCATGAATTTTACTTTTTATACGTTTCTGTTATTGGTATTTATGAAGGCTTAGAACTTGGCTTGCTATCGTGGACTTCTGTGTAATATTCTCTTCACTTTTAAATTTAGTCGGGTCTTACGTTTCTGTCTATATGCAGAGATTTTTTCGCAGGGATTTATTTGCAGAGATTACTTCCCATTTCAAACGCGCATATAATATTAATGATATTTATGACTGCATATGAATATTGTTCAACTATGTATTTATGTATTAATTTATACATGCTTTGCATTTTATCTATATTTTTAATTTTATGATTGCCGGAGGTCTTCCACGGAAGCTACTCTCAACCTGGCGTTGGGGCAGCCTACTACCCTACCTCCCCTTACCCTATTGTATATGAGAATTGAGTTTTGTTGTTGTTGTTGTCTATAAATGTGAATATTATAGTTGAACAACCATTCTTCTGTAATAATAAAAGCAAGAAGATATCCACCTCTCTGCGTAACCCAAGAGACGCACCTCAATTTATAAAATGATTTCGTTTTAAAACTCCAAAATTCATTTATTTTCTATTTGGGTAAACTACATAAATGATTACAAAACTATGGGCCAAGTCACGAAATATCATTTTTAAAATTGTGACAAATATACCATTAAATTATTTAAATGGGCTCAAAATGACCACACGACGCTAACATCTAACCGATGTATTTACGTGGCAGTTGAAAAATTGGTATAATTAGGACACAAACCCTTGTAAAGTTATGTATTCGCAGTACTGACACCCGTCTTTATTTTCTTCCATTTTGGTCACTACTTGTATATGATTTGTTTCCTTGGATTTTCATTTAATCCAATTTAATCCTGATTTTGTTTTTTAGTTTGTCTAATGTCTTAATTTGAGCATTAACATTCATGTATTAAATTTGTAGATTAAGTCCGCTAGATTTTAGAATTAATCAATTTGATCACCAAGATCAACTTTTATTCTTAATTTTTAGTTAGGTACTAATTTCAATTTAATTTAATAAATTTATTTCTCCAATCAAATTGTGACACATGTCACAATCTTATGATTATAATTTGAATATTAACTATAATATATATATATATATATATTATCATTAATTATATTATATATATATATAATAATTAATTATAATATAATATAAATTATAATTTGAATATTAAATTATTTTTTAATGATTTCATATATATAATTATTAAAAAATAAATATGGAAACAGTAAATTTAGTTTAAAAATATTAAAATCTTAAATTAATTATAAATAAATTATTAGATTTATTTTAATGATTTAAATGTTATCATATTATCAATTAACTTAATAATATGAAACATTAATTATATCATATTATTTATTAATTATATTATGTCAATTATATCTCCATTACATCACAATAATTTCATAATTAATAAAAATTATCTTACTTCACCACGAACACTCCCCACCATAAGCCATGAACTTATGTATATCAAAGTACATGTAAGAGAGAAAGAAGATGATTGTGAAAGTATGTTTGAATTCATATTTTATTCGCTTGACAAATGACATATTTTCTCACATCTGGGTCCTTACCTTTTGTACGTTTTACAGTTTAGTCACTCTCTTTACTCATTCAAAGTTCTAACATTAGGGGTGTTCAAAACCGGGTACCCGAAATTTTCGGGTATCAAAATTTCGGCCCTTGTTTTGACCCATTACATCCGGGCACCCGTAAATCTCGGGTACCCGTATTTCCGGGTCATAGGTACCCGTTTTATATATTTTTTTAAATTTTTTAGAATTATATTATTTTTAAAAAATATATAGAAAATTTCTAAAATTTAAAGGTTTATAATATATAATTCACACATAAAAAATCAAATTACATAATTGAAATTTTTATTAAAAATGAAAACAAAACTTATGACTAAATTTAAAATGTTTGAAAGTTAAAATAAATATTTTAAAAAAATAATTTAAAATGTTAATGTGAAATAATTTAAGAAATTAAGAATTTAGAATATTATGGTAGCAAAATTTAAGAAATTAAGAATTTAGAAGGTTAGAGTAAAATAATTTCATAACTATAAATAAAAATTTAATAATATATGTGTATATATATATATATATATAATTGTTGAAAATATTTTCTTGAACAATCTGTTTTAAATGATACGAAACCTTCCAGATTCATCTAATAACAATGTGTTATAACAGATTCTAGAAACTTGCAGCTCACCCTTTGGGCCAGCTCATTCATATTTTATGATTAACATTCTCCATGATTTCCATGGCTTCCAAATCTCCAGTTGAAACATTCAGTTTGCTACGAAATGAGTTGAAGCATGCACGAGAAAGGGGTTTAGTGAGGTCGTCCTTTTGATGTTGAGCAGGAACATAGTTAACGCAAATTGTACCAGCAACCACCTTTTTTCGAACAAAATGAAAATCTAATTAAACATATTTTGATTTTGAATAAAAAAGGGGATTAACACTCATTGCCACCGTACTCGTGTTATTGCTCCAAAAAAACCGGTGTGGTGTTACAAACCATACCTATATCGTTCAACAAAGCATGAATCCAAGTAATGTTAGCAACAACATCAGCAACTCATATTCAACCTCAATAGTCGAACAAGATACCTAGCATTGACGTTTAGAGGCCCACTAGACTCTATTGCCACCAAAAAACACGCAGAATCCTGAAATTGAACGTCAATCATTAACATTGTTCACCCAATCAGCGTCGGCAAAGGCTTCCAATGATAATTCAAGACCATTCTTGTGAAAAAGCAAACCAAAATCAGGAGTACTAGCTAAATATCTCAAGATATGTTTCACGGTAATCAAATGTTGTTCACGAGGATCATGCATATATTGAGCAACTTTATTGACACTAAAGTCTATGTCGGATTGAGTGTAATTCAAATAGAGAAGCTCCCTAACAACACTTCGGTAAAACTGAGCATCTGGTATCGGACTACCACATTCCTTGCATAATTTTGGTGTAACAACCATAGGTGTAGGAACTAGATGTGCACCTCGCATGTCAATCCATTCGAAAAGTTCAAGAATAAATTTCTTTTGTCGGAAGACAAGATTTTGAGAATTGCGCTGAACTTCTAACCCCAAGAAGTAGTTTAATTCCCCCAAATCCTTGCGCGAAAACTCACTCCTCAATTGAGAAACAACTTGTTCAACATCGTCTTCATTATGGCCTGTGGTGATAATATCGTCAACATACACAAGAACATAAAGAAAACAATCACCCACTCGTGGAATAAATAGAGACGCATCCGCTTATGTTCCTTGAAAACCAATGTTGACAAGAAATGCTCTAAGTTTAGCATACCAACTTGGAGGAGCTTGTTTAAAGCAGTAAATAACTTTCTCAAGTTTACACACCAACTTTGATCCATCTGGAGAAACTTGCTCAAATTCCGGAGATTGTACCATGAACGCCTCCTCACTAAGATCACCATTGAGAAAAACATTGTTAATATCCACTTATCGTAGCTTCTACCCATTCATAACTGCTAACGACAAAACCACCTTAATCGTGGTCGTTTTGATAAATGGACTAAATGTATCATGAAAATCATGTTCATGGACTTGAGCAAAGCCCTTTGCCACTAACCGAGCTTTGTATTTAGCCACTGAGCCATCCGCATTTTTCTTTACTCAAAACAGCCACTTACACCCAATGACACACTTGTCTGGAGGTAATGGTACTAGTCGCCACGTACCATTTCGTATCAACTTATCATATTCTTCAAGAGCAGCAACTCTCCATGTATAACCTAAAGCTTGATGAATAGTAATCGGTTTATCTTGATGAAGCAAAGCTTGTATAGAAAAGACCTTAGGCTTGAAAATGCCTGATTTGCTCCGAGTGACCATCGAGTGAACATTAGATGGAAGAGTAGAGAGGCTGCCAGGCAGCGTGTTGTTATGTTCATCATCAGTCGGTGCATCATTTGTAGAAGCATCATTATGCGGAACTGTTGGGGAAGAGTTTACAGCAGCAAGAATTTGTTCAGAACCATGTTCAGTAGAAGCGTCACACTCCAGAGAACCAACTTAATGGTGTGAGGCATAGAAGCAGGTGATGAGGACATAACACTGTTACTTGATGAGTTAACCTCTTCCATAACACTCGGTTGCTGTGGTTGAGATGGGGGCACACAATTACG